TAATAAATACAGGAAGTTAATATTGGTTGCATTAGGTTGATATTGAGCTCCCAGAAGATTTGCCCCTCAAAGAAGCTCACACCATTGGAGAGTCTCTGCAGATTAAGCTTGAGAAACTTAGAGAAGTTGAGAGAGCATTTGTTCATCTCGACTATGAATGTGAACACAAACCAGAGCATTCTGTTCTAAGTCGGCTGCCAAACAGTGAGCCTTGACCCTGCAAACTTGTGAAAAAAAGGTACTCTCTGGAAATTTGGCTCTTGAGACGGTTTTCATACTGCTGAAACTCATTTACTGAAAGAAATTGTCTGCTAATGTTGAAGAAATAAAGTAATTCTCCAATGTACAAAACAGTAAATGCTTTTGAGCGAAGTCACGGGACAAAGAGAAATATAGAGAATAAAGGTCCGCAAAAGGTGAAAAAGAAATAATATTCCACTTTGCACTCAACTCATAGCTTTCTTCCATGCAATATTCTTTGCAATCCTTAAATGATGCTGTCCACAGTCCATTCTATGTGGCTGTAGTAACTTTCAAATTTATTGATCATATGTATATGGCTCAACATATTTCTGTATACCAAAAAAGCATCGTATATTTGATCAACGAATTATAATATTCCAATCTCTTTTCCCACTCCAAACAGACAGCTCCTATAAATAACACAGCACAACATTTTCTTATACTGAGAACAAAAAATGGCTAGACGCTACTACAACTCTTATTACCATGAATTTTACCAGTACCTCTCATTGCCACTCCACTTCATCTTCATCCTATCCATAATATTTCTCTTCTTGATCTTCACTTGGTACATAAACTACGAGTACATGTTTTATGACCTAATAGATCATCTAAAGCTGAGTCTCATAGTTTTTCCTGTTCTTCTTTTGCTTGTCGTCCACTGGTTGGCTGATGATGATGAGCGTTTTCCTTTCTCTCTGAGCATGCCAGAGAAGGACTCACTTTATAAGCTGGGTGGGTCCCCACTTGGGGTAGCTCTTTTGCTGCTGTTCCTTATCTTCATGATCTCGCACCATAGCTCATTGCACGAACGTTGGTTTCCCTTGTTTAGTCGACGCTAGATGTGCTATTCCAACATCATGATCCATTATTGAGATTACTTTG